AATCTCACATTTAACATGCTAAGGGACGACCTTGTTAATTAACATACAAAAATATTATCTAGGAAAAGATTAAACCACACTCCATTATGAAATAAAAACATTATTAAGCAAAATATTACCTACTTTATTACATTTTTGTATATAAATAAAATGATCTATAACAAAAACATAATTTGTTATTTGGTTAATTGAATTGTTTAATCTGAAAATTGATAACCTAAAACCATTTAACCCGAATATCAATTTGTTTGGATGGAGCATCTCTAAAAGATTCTTTAAAATGGAGAATCAAAAGTCAAAATATCCAACAACTTCTTTACTTTGTAGGTTATAATATTTTATATCCTTTATAAAATATTATTTATATCTATCATATACATTCAAGAATTCTATAAAAAATAATTTTATCCTTTCTTTCTAATTTTTTCTATTTTAAAAAAATCTATTATAATAAAAATCTTCAAAATCTTTATTTTAATAAATTTTGTTTTTTCGGATTATCTATACTATATTATAAAGCATTTGAAAAAAACTGTTAAAAATCATTTTTTATGCACAAAATACTGTTTATCGATGCATATTACTTAAAATTCAAGATTACAAGTAAATTATGCGTAAGTACAACTTATTAAAGCTCCATGCATATTTGAATTCGTGTAACTAACTGCAGATAAATTTAATCAAATACAAGATAAATATCTCATTTTAAATATAAAAATCTAAAATATAATTAAGATAATTATTGAGTTCTAACAGAATACTTAATTATTATCTTTATAAAAAAATTATATATTATCAAACCTAAATTAAATTATTTCGCTACGTTAAATTAAATTATAATATATATTTAAATTAAAAGAATTACACAAAACTAGAAATTTTGAATAGTTAACTTGATACTAATCTTTATATATATATATATACGTTTTTTTTTTCAAATTTTAATGATATTTTAAACTTTATATTTTATTTAAAAATAATAATATTATCGTTTTTATAAAACTATACATAAAATCGTATTATATTAATATAAATAAAGAATAAAACAAGACATTAAAATCGGAATATGTATCAATTTACCCTTCTATTCCCTCAAAATAGACTTTCTCAATATTCAAGACTTCATCTGAAGCCATGAGACGACCAGGTTCCAAACCGTCGATTCGTATGTCGTGCTGGGCCACCGACCACGCTATAGATGAAGAATATTCACCTTACGCGTCGCCAACGCGTGCAAGAAGTCAGACTTCTTCCTCATCTTCCAGGAATGGAAAGGTGGCGAAAAGGTTCACCTACATTTTTAACCGTAAATGGCACGAAAGACCCTTCGAGTTTGATCAATATACCAGAAAACCTTTGAAATTTTGGTCTAGCTGTTTGCCATGTTTTAACAATAATTTTTGGTGGGCCAAGAATTTAGGCAAACCCAATGGTTGGTCTAGGGGTGTTAATTGATTTGAGTTTTTAACGAGTTATTAGAGTTCGAGCCGATCTTTAATATAAAATTGTTTAAATTAACGAATTGAACTTTATAAGATTAATGTTTGATTCTGTTCATTTAAAAACACGAATAAGTTTTTCGAGTCAAATCATTTGAGTAGTATACGTTTTCAGCCATATATGCTCATAAGTCATAATATTATAATTTAAAATTTATCGAACTTCAACCAATAAACAAGTTAATCAATCTTGAGATAAATTTTTAAACGAGCTTGTAAAGCTTGAATTTTAAATAATAATGTATTTTATTTTGAAAAGTTATTCAAGTTAAACCATGATATTATCTTTTTTTATCAAATAACCTATTGAAAAATTCTTGATCTAAAAGAAACGTTTCACATGATAATTATTAGGCAGGCAAGAAATGGTGGATATTGCTACGAATTTCTAAGGTCTTGGATTAGGTTATAGATGTTCGTTTGGACATTGAGGGACTATTTATCAAAAACTTATCGGGTAAAGCGTTTTCCTATAAAAGTAATCACTATAATTTACCTTATGGGATACCATTCCAGGCTATCAAAATAGCGTATATAACCCGGAAAGTCCTTATCGAGTAAGAGTTATCACCCTCATGACTTACCAGATGGAACTCTTGAACCTTGTTTTCCCTCTTACAGATAATATTCTTGGTATTTGCTATGTTGACCTGGTAAGGTAATTGAATTGGTAAGTGCTTACCAAGATAAATGTTTAGTAAACGATCCCTTAGTCGATTAAAAAATGGAGTGGGCTAAATGTACCCCTATATATTGTTAAATGCACTCCTACCTATCAATTTTCTTCTCACATACAGTAACATCAATATATACTTTTAGCTTTGCAATGCATGATTTGATCTGGTTCTAACATAAAAATAGTGCATATAGCATTGGGGAATGCTATTTGCATCTTTCTATTTAAAAATCAAGTTAATTCATGTATTGTTAATGTAAAAAGTAAACATTAACGTTGTTGACGTGTATGAGAAAAAAATTCATAAGTAAAGATACTTTTAATAATATATGGGTGCATGTAACTAGCCAACCCCTTAACAATATATTGGGTTTTATTGGGTACTACTACAAACTTGAGGGTTTATGGCAAAAGTAGCTTGAATAAGATTTTCTGATTTGGACAGCTTTTTGTATAACAATGAAATTTCYACGAATCTTCCTCTGCCCTGAGATGCCCCCCACGATCGCCTATCAATAATTATACTATTAATAATGAAAGGTACAGCAGAAGAATATATTCAGTATACTTCAATTATCAAGAGTTTACCAAAGAAAAGTTGTAGTTGTTTTCTTAATGGTGGGTATCCGGTCTGTTTATTCAGGTGAATATAGAGGGTGTAGAATCATCCTAAGTAAACCTTCATGATTATAACGTCTATATTCATATCTAAGAAAGATTATACTTTCATTAAATCCTCCTAAGTTATAAGCTATGTGTCACATCCTAGTAGTTAAAAGTTTTAATTCTTGTGCCTCCGTTTGCTTCGCTTTTTGCTCCCATGGTATATGTACGATATAGAATTAATAGTAATTTACAGTTCTGTTATTTAAACCTTATTAGAGGTCCAACAAATGTAAAGGAGGATTCAAATAGATGGAGATGAGGTTGGAAATAGGGGTTAGAGATGGAAATGAGGTGGGGGATAAGTACTAAAATACCCCTGTCCCTCTCCATGTCCCTGCCCTTATTTATAGGGCCGTCTTTGCCCCTACACCGTCTAATTCTTGAGGGTATCTTCATATATAAGATAGAGATTTTCAAGCAATAAAAAACATTAAAATTAAATATTTAGAACATGAAAATTATATTTTATTAAAAGTATTGAATATTTCAATAATATATTTAATGTTTAAATATTTAAAGTAGTGTAGATATTTGATTTGAATATAATAATTCTTTCTTAAAGATTTTGTCTTTTATTACTTTATTTTTAAAAAAAGTATCGGGTATCTCCTCGAACTCAAACTTCAGGGGAAAAATTGACTTTTAGTTTACAAAGAGTAATGAATTAAGCAGCCTCAATGATTGTTGCTCCAGCCAATCAAATCCAGGTTAAAATAAATTAAAACATTCGAGTCAAAACGCTAATCAATTTATTATTTAATAGATTGCAAGTTCTAAGTCTCTCGACATCATCCATTAATTTATGGACCATTAAAAAATTCATTTAGCTTAGGTATGGTTATAATTATACACAAAACCATGTAGTCGGGGAAGGTTTTTGGTGAAAAGACCTGGAGATATCATAAATGTTTTTCTCGGGGTCAACCCCAAATAYGAAAAAAAAAATTGAGTTATAGCTTGTGGTTGAATCCCGACATGGGATGGTTACGGCAAGTTTATGTTTGTATAGCTTGTGAGAAAGATAGAAAGCATGATGGTCAGACGGGAAGAGGAGAGGTAAGCCGAGGAGCATGTGGGATGAACAACTGAGGCTGGACGTGACTTTTTAGACATTTTCGAGTAAATGAAGTCTCTTATAGGAGTTTTTGTAGACCAAAGACTAGGATAACATACTCTATGTGGGACTTGTAACTAAGTGTGAATTCAACCACACACAATTAATTCGGAAACAATAGGTCTAGCAACAAGTAGATGACAATCCAGGCACAATAAACCAACCACCAACAAGATCCAAGCAATATAAACCGATATCAACTAATGCGGACCGCTACCACGTACCAGTTATGGATACCCAGTTAAGGTCCGGTTTTGTACATCTCTAATTTAAAGATATAATATCAAACTTTTAACTTTCTTAGGCTTTCTTAAAATAGTTGTATTTTGTACCCTAAAGTGGTCTGCTTAATGTATCACTTGCTTAGAAGATTATAGCTACAAAACAAAGAGGCTTCATCTTAGAAGATTACCAGCGAATTCACCATCACTGGGGAATTACCAGCGGATTTTTCCGTCGGCAATCACGATCACTAGCCATATTTTCTCCGGCTATGAGATCTGTCGCTGATGGCTTTTTCTGGCCGATTACCGACGGATTTTTTGTCGTTGAAGCCCCTTTGTATTAAGTGGCAACATAATGACGTTTTTCAGAAGTTTTCACACTGCATACTTGCCAACTAATGCTATATTTAACCAACAGACTCCAAAAGCGCTACATTCTGCTTGCAGCCAATACACCACATGCCTATTCCTGAGTTAATTTGAATTTTTTAGTTAAAACTAGATAACAATGTAAAATGACTTAACATAAAAGGAGCATAATTCATTCCAAAAAGTGAAAAACAGTCCTTGGAGCTTATTGAAAAGCTATTTGAAGTAGAATTTTCAAAACGTTAGCTTATAAATTGGTAACTGACATTTTTCAATAAGCTCAAAAAAAGCTATCTCATGGAATTCTAAATTTGATGTAGATATGTTATGCATGAGTTTGCACACTGCAAACCTACCAGCTAACCCTGATAGATTCTTCTAACAGAATATGTTCAAGAGATGATTTCTCTAAGATCTATTTCACATAATCATTTCGTTCTCACCTTTGGCAGGAAGATTTGCGTGTTACCTTTATGGCCATGAGGGCAGCAATGCGATTTATAGATGGTACGTTGAATCTATGCAGTGTTGCAAAAACTGAAATGGATCCATTTTTCAACTTTCCTTTATGTACCCCATCAGCTTTTGCTCTCTTAAAAGAAATTGTCAAAATGTACCAATAGATTGTCTTGTAGGACAACAATAAAGCTTTTTATTTAAGAGTGTTGCAATAAGTTTATTGGAATTTTTTTGAGCATCTTAACAAGTCTTTTAGGACATTTTTTAAAATAAAACGTTGTATTAGTTATTTTATAGGACACTATCTGAAAAAATGTCTTAGAAAAACAAACGTGCTAAAAAAGACATGTTTATATATAAAATAACTAATACAATGTTTTATTTTATAAATGTCCTAATAAAATTGTTGAGATGACTAAAAGCGTCATATAAACTTATTAACATTTTTAGACAAGATCCTTTATTTTTTGAGTCTAATATAGTTTGTTAAGACACTTGATATTCTTAGCTTCCTATAAACCCAATTTTGTTGTTGTATGCATCGATGATTTATGAATCCTATGTCAACAGCTGCTGCTCACCCTCAAAATGTTCATGAACATCATCAGCCAAGGCATGTAACATTTTCCGAATTCACCAACAATCCAGATAAACTTGCATCCATGGTTCGTAATTATGATGTCAAGACCTTACGATCTCTTCGTGGAGTCGATGGAATTGCAGAAGCCATAGACGTCTCATTAGACGAAGGAATCAAATCAAGCGAATTGTCCATCAGACAAGAGACTTATGGCATCAACAAATATACCGAAAAGCCTTCCAAGAGCTTCTTTATGTTCGTATGGGAGGCCCTTCATGATCTTACTCTCATTATCCTTATAGTTTGCGCCGTGGTCTCAATTGGTGTGGGACTCGCAACCGAAGGCTGGCCCGATGGGATTTATGATGGATTGGGAATTCTACTCAGTATTCTATTAGTAGTCACGGTTACGGCTGTGAGTGACTACAAACAGTCTTTGCAGTTTAAGGATCTTGATAAAGAGAAGAAAAAGATTTCATCTCATGTAACAAGAGACGGGTATCGGAAAAAGATCTCCATTTATGACTTAGTTGTTGGAGATATTGTCCACTTATCGATCGGTGATCAAGTTCCAGCCGATGGGATATTCATATCAGGATACAACTTGTTGATCGATGAATCCAGCTTAACGGGTGAGAGCAATCCTGTGAATATTGATGAAAAGAAGCCTTTTCTACTTGCAGGAACCAAAGTGCAAGATGGTTCAGCTAAGATGCTTGTTACAGCCGTGGGCATGAAAACCGAATGGGGAAAGTTGATGGAAACGTTAAGCGAAGAAGGAGAAGACGAAACCCCGTTGCAAGTCAAGTTAAATGGAGTCGCTACAATCATTGGGAAAATCGGATTGGTGTTTGCCGTGTTGACGTTTCTTGTGTTAACCGTGAGGTTTCTCGTGGAAAAAGCAATGCACAATCAGTTCTCGAGTTGGTCATCGAGCGATGCTTTGACTATGTTAGATTACTTTGCGACTGCTGTTACTATTATTGTGGTTGCAGTGCCAGAAGGCCTACCGTTGGCCGTTACCCTCAGCCTTGCCTTTGCGATGAAGAAGTTAATGAACGATAAGGCGCTTGTAAGACATCTCTCTGCTTGTGAAACAATGGGTTCTTCGACTTGTATATGCACAGATAAAACGGGCACGTTAACGACAAATCATATGATTGTCGATAAAATATGGGTATCGGGCGAAACAAAAGATGTTAGAGACAACGAAGGTCGAGTTTTGTCTTCGAAGTTATTAGAAGGTGTGTCAAACGTTCTCTTGCAAGGTATATTTGAATGTACAGGCTCCGAGGTGGTCAAGGACAAAAACGGAAAAAAGAATATTTTGGGAACCCCAACCGAGTCCGCAATATTGCAATACGGGCTGGATCTTGGCGGAGATTTCAATGCCACACACAGCGAGATTAAGATGTTAAAAATGGAACCTTTTAATTCCGCCAAGAAGAAAATGTCCGTGATTGTAGCTCTCCCGGATGGCCAAATTCGCGCATTTTGCAAAGGTGCATCCGAAATAGTATTAGGATTATGTGACAAGATCATCGATCGCAATGGAGAAGCTGTTCCCATGTCCGAAGAGAAAGTAAAGGTTGTTACAGACGTCATCGAAGAATTTGCTGTGGATGCTTTGAGAACTCTTTGTTTGGCTTATTTGGATGTTGAAGGTGGTTTTGATGGTCAACAGAACATACCCGAACGTGGATATACATTGATTGCGGTTGTTGGAATTAAGGATCCGGTTCGACCAGGGGTTAAGGAAGCCGTTGGAACTTGTTTAGCWGCTGGCATTACTGTTCGTATGGTTACAGGTGATAATATCAACACGGCTAAAGCCATTGCAAAGGAATGTGGCATACTTACCGTAGGCGGCTTGGCCATTGAAGGTCCAGAGTTCCGGACCCTAACTACCGAGCAATTGAATGAAATCGCACCTAGAATTCAGGTAAAACATTAGTATACAACCGCAACTAAAAGAAAATGGTTTTTGAACTGAAACCAAACGAACCAGTAAATCTCACACAGATTGAACTGCATTTCCATGAATATTGTAGGTAATGGCTAGATCGTCACCAACGGACAAGTATGATCTTGTAAAGCATTTGAGAGGCATGTCTGAAGTTGTCGCAGTTACGGGTGATGGCACGAATGATGCTCCAGCATTACACGAGTCGGATATCGGGTTTGCCATGGGTATAGCCGGAACCGAGGTTTGTATTTTCTTTTATTAGATACCCTTTTCAAATTAATGTGTATATACATGCTTATGGGAGAGAATAAAGTTCAAATGAGAACGATATGGAACCAATTATTTTATGTATTATTTATCATGAATACTATTATTTATAATGAATATCATGCATTTTTATTACGAGTAATTTTCCTCATGAATATCTATACGACATTTATCATGAATAAAACATAAATAATTGGTTCTTAAGTTCTCAAAATATTTACGGTTGTCATATAAACCTCCCTCTATATATGTTTATGAGCATCCGTATCATATATTTGCCTCTCGACAGTTTTTAGCAACTCTTGCACCTCAACATCTCTAGTATTATACCCGCAGGTCGCAAAAGAACAAGCTGATGTCATCGTGATGGATGATGATTTCGCAACAATTGTAAAAGTAGCGAAATGGGGACGTGCTGTATACATTAACATTCAAAAGTTTGTGCAGTTCCAGTTAACCGTTAATATCGTTGCTCTGATGATCAACTTTGTTTCTGCATGCCTCACAGGTGCATTGGTCTTTATTAACTACCATCAGTTAGCTTATTTTTTTAGCTTATTGAAAAAGTCCCGTTTGATTAGTTATAAACTAGCCTTTTGAAAAACTATTTCGGATGACATTTAAATAAGCTCAAGGGCTATTTTCACTTTTTCCATCTATGCCCATTATTTTTCTAAATAAATTTTCACATGTACTTTTAGATCATTTTACACCAAAGATAACTAATTTATCTACTAACCTATCAACCAACAACTAGCTTATCCGCTAATGACAACAGTTATGACGTGCTTATTCTCTTATAACGTAACTGCAGGGTCTGCCCCTCTCACGGCTGTGCAATTGCTTTGGGTCAACCTGATCATGGACACCTTGGGTGCATTGGCACTGGCCACTGAACCACCGAATGAGGGTCTGATGAAACGGCCACCCGTTAAGCGAACCGACAGTTTCATTACAAAGACGATGTGGAGGAACATCATTGGTCAGAGTATTTACCAAATGGCTGTCCTATTTGTTCTCAATTTTGCTGGGAAGCCAATTTTGAATTTACATGGATCGAATGCAACTGCCGTCCTTAATACTTTCATCTTCAACACCTTCGTCTTCTGTCAGGTTATACAAGTTCTAATTACCTCAAATGTTTTCGTATATATATATGTTTTATTGAAAAGGAGAGTTAAAGTGAGAAGCATAAGCAAACATCTTACCCTTAATCACCTTTAATCTCAAGCCCACTCATGCGCATGATACAGGAGTTGATCCGGTGCATATTTGTGCATTTCATCCTAATGTGCCTCAAAAGTGAAGATCTCTTCTTATGTTTATCACCTTAACTTTCATTCCCACTTGAACCCAAACATTAGTTAATATAATCTATTGATCAAATGACTCAATTAGTACCATGTGATCCTTGTCTCAAATGTATACAGATAAGATTGGATTAGACTGGACAGAACAAGACATGACAAAACACAACTATAAGACTGGACTTGACAAGACTAGACATGACAAGTCTGGTGCTACAAGTAAGACCGGACAAGACAGTGTCCTGTCACATGTCACGCCAAACGTGAGACAATGAGTTTTGTCCCGTCATTTCCGGTCTAGTCCATGTCCCATGTACCAAACACATAGGGAAAAAGAGTGTTTAGTACGTGGGACAGGGCTGTGGGACAAAATAGGTCGAACAAAAATAAGGGAATGGGCAAGATTGGTAAAATTACTAAATTGCCCATGTTAAATTAAAAGCCTAAAATCCCACGGTTTTTCACCTGCCTACCTCACTTTTGTCTTTCTAGTCTAGTCGTGTCTGATCCCATTCGCATACCAAACGATCACTTAGAGATTAGTTTCTCGATAGTTTTAAAAAAATACCAGTTATGCCAAAATGTCGCACTTGTATAAATTATATCACACATTATATTGACATGGGTTATTTGTGCTCTCTTTTTACCGGTGTATTTCGACAGGTTTTTAATGAAATAAACAGCCGTGACATCGACAAGATAAACATTTTCCGTGGCATGTTCAGCAGTTGGATATTCATAGGCGTCATGATCTCGACGGTCGTATTTCAAGTCATCATAGTCGAGTTTCTCGGCACTTTTGCAAGCACCGTCCCCCTAGACTGGGAACTGTGGTTACTTAGCATCGTGATCGGATTTGTGAGCATGCCGATCGCAGTTGTTTTGAAGTGCATTCCGGTTGAGAAGGCTGCTGTTAAGCAACAACATGATGGTTATGAGATACTCCCCGATGGCTCAGAACAGGTTTGATCGAAAGCTGAAGGGGTATTGTATCGTTTTTCTTTCCTTTTCGTTATACCGACAGGTTTCAAGCGATCTTTTCTCATCAATCTCCTAACCGTGCATAATATATGGTATAGTTTCTTTTGCTTTCTTTTACAACTTTTCCGGTGCTCGATTGCGTGATGATTTGAGAGTTACACTTTTACATGACGAATTCGTCGTCTTATTTCCATGTTATATTCATAAATTAACTGCTTTTGTTCAAATAATGAATAGTCCTTTTGATAGTCGAAAAGATGGTCGGAACTCTTGAACTCTAGGAAGTTCTTGGAACACTATTTGAAGTATTGTTTAACAAGTTCAATTAGTTTTTTTTCTTCTACTTTTTCTAATTGTGACGGTTTACTTCTTAATAGTTCTATTAAGAGACGATCTCTGAATTGTTAAGAAGTGAATCTTGTTTGACAAAAAAAAATCTGTCTCTTTATGGTTCTAAAACCATCCGAACGATTTTGTATCTTCGGTCTTCCTTAATCATTCAACGCCCTAATTTTACTCTTATACCAAACAATTATATTTCATTTTGCATTATATCATAAGAGTCTCTTAATCATTCTGTATCAAACCATTTAGCAACTGGCAAGCAATGTCTTAGATTTTTCCAATTAATCTTTTAACACATCATTTTATAATGTTATCTAGTTTGTCGGTTCTTACCAAACACGGCTATTATTTCATTAACCAACTAGTTAGTTGAAATTTAGTTCTTAAATTAGTTACATTTAATGAAATTGACAGATAAATTAAATGACAATGTAAAATCGTCTTAAATGATAAGGGGTTGGAATGACAGTAAGCCGATAGAGTCGTAAATTTAAAATTGCTTTAAAGCTTATCAAAAGCTACCTGAAATAGTTTTACAAAAAGCTACGTGAGTTCGAAGTACGATTCGAGAACAGGATCAAACTACGTAATAATGCCCGAGTTTCTAACAATTACATACCACAAACCAAATCGAACTCACACTCAACGGCAAGCATCTGATACCGTGGAAACTGCGTGTAAAAACAATTTCCTTAAATGCTCGTAAAACCAAGGGGACGTGGTGTTCCCACGAGGTCGTTAGATCCGAGACAAAAATATGCTTCATTCGCCACCACTTCTACTTTTAACGAGGATCTCTGCATGCTAAGCGCTTTCGGTCCAAAAAAAACAATAATAACCACAATGATCATCGGTATCTCCTTTTGGCTTCTCCATAAGCAACCACCCCCATAACGGTCATCGAGTAACCAGCTATACCTACAAACGTAACCGGGTTTTTGAAAAGGAGTATCGAGATAACAACGGCTACGGCTCCTTTTGCGTTCCCCAGTACCTGATCACCATTAATAGAGTTCAGTCCAAAGCAAATATGATGGTTCGATTTCTGAAGCAAAGGGCGATAATATGTCAAGCTTCATAACAAATGTTGCAGATCGAAAAACGTCACTATTCGTATAAATTTAAAACTTGAAGTACGGATAGACCTCCTAGTAATTTTACGAGTATGACCTCCGAGGTAATTTTCGAGCTTTGTTGCCTAGGGGTTGTTTGACAATTGTTGAATGGTTTGGTGCAAAATGATTAAGTGGTCAGAATGATTAAGAGGCTCTCATGATATAGTGCAAAATGAAATATAATTGTTTGGTAATTGTGTACAATGAAATTAGCGCTCTTAATGGTTAAGGGAGATTCAGGATACAAAATCATTCAGAAGGTTTTAGAACCATTAAGAAGAAGACTTTTTTTTTTGCCAAACAAGATTCACCTCTTAACGATTCAAATGTTGTGTCTTAATGTAACTATTAAGAGGTAAAGAAACAACTCTTAACCCTATATATGCCTCGACTTCCACAGGACGGTAGAGTGAGGGCACGGGGCAACCCTAGCCCCTTACTAATTCCGCCCCCATGTACATTGCAATTTATTTAATAAAAAACGGAAAAAGACAAAAAAAAATGGTAAAAAGACCAAAATGCCCTCTCGTGCTTCTTACAAAGTCAAAACGCATTTCGTTTCTTGGATCGTAGGGGGGTTTCGAGATTCAAGTTTTGACAAATACGTAAAGAGATACGTCACGCAACTATTGGAGTTAATAATGTGGTAAAATATATACGTAAAAAGTGCAAAAAGAACCAAGAGACGGACCTGGAGTGTCAATGCACTAGTGTTCTTGGTGACCAAGAAGTTGGTCAAGTTGGCTGCATAAGCCATGGTTGAATTCACCAAAAGCAGTAGCCACATGAACCTATGTTTCAATGCAAGAGAGACGGTAACATCGATCACATCCGGCTCCATCACAAGTGCCGCCGGCAATAATACAACAATCGCGATCGGGGACATATATAGCAACAGATTCATCGAGTTCAATTTTTCGCTGCAAATATAAACAACTCATGTGAGCAAACAAACTGAAAATGCAACTTAATTTCAAATCCAAGAAATCCAATTCCGTTATGGATTATGAACTCAAGTGTGTATTCGTTAGCGGGTCCTTTGGTCAAATGACCTTCTGCCAAGTTAGTTTTAGATCCATCACTTCACTTCCATACGTAAAAACGCCCAAAAACTTGTCAGAAGGTCATGGATTTAAAAAGAAGCTGTCAAGAGATCATTTACCGATGTGTAAAATGGATTTACCCTTCGGAAGATAGGAGGATGCCCTGAAGAACCGACTTGAAGGCCCTAGCAGCGGTCGCACTTATGCACATAATGAATCCATATAAATGAAAACTCGGCTCACCCTACCAAAAACCGATAAAGTTTATTACTTTTGCTAGCAACAACGAAATTACGGGAGAAAGCTATGCAACTATGTCGAACAAAGAAAACGTTGTTGTGATTCTTTAAAGTGTTTGATGGAGTTTAAACATATATCAACACCAAACCCTAATGGGTTCAAGCTTATGGATCCAACTGCTGCTGGCTCGCTATGATTTACCTCCCCGTGATGGCTGACTGGACACGGAACCGGTGCAGTGGCGGCATTAAACAAATTCCAAATTTGAGGGAGATGGGACAAGATCGATAAATCTTTATACTACCTATGTCATATTAAAGCAATTCTTTCACCGGTTTAAGTGGCTGTTTGTTTGGTTTTCCATCAAGTCCTATATGAATAAAGCTGTTTGTAGCTGTTTAACCTATCAGTATAGATTGGGAAGGTTTTTGTTTGGGGGGTTTTCTCATTGATAGAAAGGGTTTTTGTTTGGGAGTGCTTTATGATATGAATTGGGCAGGTTTGGTGAAAACCTTGACTTTCTGCATAAAACTCCCACTAGAGGCTTATTGAATAAGCCAATTTCAATATATTAAGCCACTATCCAACAGTGAATAAGTTGTGGAGTCGCATTAAGCCGTTAAGCTGCTAACGGACAGGCCCTAACTCAATCTCAACTGTCCGGTTCAGTCTACCCTTAAGCACTACAGATCAAGATCCAACTCCAACAACTACACTATTTCTATTTTAGAAACATAGATCAAGAAAAGGAACAACAATCACATATAATTTAATCAAGAAATGTAATAATAATTGAAGAAAATAGACGGCAGAAAATTACCCCACTGGCAATCACAACACCAGTAACAACAGGAACAAGAGCACCATAAGTAACCCAAGCCTCTCTCTTGAAGGTCATCAAGTATGCAAACATGGCTGTGAAGAACGGCGTCGTCGCACCGACAGCTTGGTTGAAAGAAACCGGCAAAAACCTAAGGGAAATATTCCCGCCGACAACAGACCCACAAAACACAATGCTGAGAGTTGCAATCCTTAAAAACTGCGACCTCGATTTGATCTTCTGAAAGGSCACGATTTTGAGGAAAACAATGGAGATGTAACTGAGGATAGCACAAGCTGACATGTGGCACATTGTGAGGAAAATTGGGAATTTGAAGCCATAGTTGGAGAGCAAGAGTTTGTTGAGAAGAAGAACGCCGATGTTGGATGAATACCAAAGGATTATGAGGGAGGAGATGAAGAAAATGTGGGTGGATGATGAAGAGGATGACATTGTGTTGTGGGATCTATGGAGGAAGGATGATTAATGAAGCAAAAACCATGGATCTGGGTTAGGATTTGATGTCCCGATGTTTCTGCCGTGATGCAATGAATCTGTGTCGGGAGGTCATCGCCGGGATATGGACACAGGAGCAACCTTTTTATGTTCTACGTGTCACTTTTCTATTTGTTGCCTCGTTTTTCATTTTCATCAAAAGCATTTCTTTTGTAACTCCACCAATATAATTTATATATATATATATATATATATATATCTATATAGGGGTTGGTTCAAATACTAACCCAATATTTTGTGCAAACTATGCTAACCCATCTTAATCGTTCATTTTCTCATCTAACG